TTATACGTTGGTTCAACGAACGGGCAGCACCCATGACGGACCTCACAAAAAAGGACAGGACCTTTGTCTGAGACAACAAAGTAGAGAAATCATTTAATCGGTTGAAGACAGCAATGGTGACTGCTCCAGTGTTGCAATTACCGGATTTTGAGCGGGAATTTGTGGTCACAACGGATGCGTCAGAGGTATCCGTGGGAGGTATCCTGCAACAGGATTTTGGCAACGGGCTGCAACCCATTTGCTATGAAAGCACGAAGCTCAATCCCGCTGAAATCCAGTACAGTGCATACGAAAGGGAATTTCTGGGCATCACCTGGGCTGTTGGAAAATGGCGGCATTATTTGGCCAGCCGCCACTTCATCGTCCAGACAGACCATGACTCTTTGAAAAACCTGCCCAACCAACCTGCTGTCAACAGGCGGTTTTGGAAATGGGTGTAGGTACTGTAGGGATACGATTGTGACATTGTCCATATCCCAGAAAAGGACAATCCTGCAGACTTCCTCACGCACAGGAGTATTCAGGAATTGCACAGTATGGCGGATGTGCGTGCGGAAGAGGAGTCACTGGTCCAACGTCTTAAGTTGAATGAAGGTGACAAGGGGGAAAACGAAATACAAAAGAAACTCGATGAAATTTTTAAGAAGTCGAGAACTGGGGAAGCAGTGGTGGCTGCTGGTGGGGGAGATCATTCACTTCATTCTTTATATTCTTTGTTGGTGACCAATGCCCGTGTCACACTGGAGGAAGGCTTGAGGGACTCAATTAAAAAGGGCTACCAAGAAGACAGCAGGTGGGCAGAAGTGATGAGCCAGTTGGAATCTGCCCAAGGACGTGTCACCAGGATCGGGAATTGTGATTATCGGCTGAGTCATGGATTGCTAGAGATTAAAGTAAAAGACAACTCAGAGGACAGGCGACCTTGGAGGTTGGTGGTGCCAGATGTGGAGGATGCCCGCAGAAGGATTATGGAGGAGATACATGCAGTACCATACGTGGGTCATCTGGGCTACCACAAGACACTCAAGAAGTTACAGCAAAACTTCTACTGGCCAGACCACACAGTGGATGTGAGAGATTATGTGTTGGGATGTGAGGTCTGCCAGTCTGAGAAGAGTGTCCACAAAATGCCGGCTGGACTACTACAGCCTTTACAGCTTCCAGAGGAGAAATGGAGCGACATCAGCTTGGACTTCATCATGGGTCTACCGGTCAGTGAGAGGAGAAACGACGGGATCTTGACAGTTGTAGACCGGGCAACGAAGATGGTACACCTGGTACCAATTCAACAGACCATCACAACTGCTGAAACTGCCCGTGTCTACTGAGACAACATTGGGAAACTACACGGGATCCCCAGGTCAATTGTCAGTGACCGTGACCCAAGATTTGTGTCCAAGTTTTGGCAAGAATTCTGGAAGTTATTGGGGAGTAAGCTATGGATGTCCAGTGCCCACCACCCTCAGACAGATGGTCAAACGGAGGTAGCAAATAGGGTGGTGGAGCAAGTCCTCCGATGCACAATCCATGCGAGTCAGGACATCACACACTGGGAGCGTTATCTGCCCATGGTGGAATTTGTGATGAACAATAGCGCATCACCAGCTACGGGGTATACACCGTTCTACCTCAACTATGGGTTTGAGCCAGTGACCCCATTGGACTTGATACGGGACGTCGACCAGACAAACCTTGAAGGGGTTGACGTATTCGTTAAACATATGAAGAAGACGTTCAAGTTGGTGATGCAAATGGTTCAACAGGCGCAACAGAGACAGAAACGCCAGGCCGGCCAACGGCGGCGTGATCAGCGATTTCACAGTGGGGAACAGGTGCTGCTGAGCACAGAACATCTACAATTGAAGAATGCACTTGTTCGCAAACTCAAGAGGCGATTCGTGGGTCCCTTTGCTGTGGTCCGTCCGGTGGGACCAGTGGCCTACGAATTGGAGCTGCCTAAAGGGTGGAAGATTCACAATGTCTTTCATACGAGTTTGCTCCGACCATTCAGAACGTCCAAATGGTCGTCCCCACAGGAAGATGAAGACGCTGAGATTGAAGTTGAAGCTGATGAACCATATGACATGGAGAAGCTGCTGCGTTGGAGATGGGCAGGCCCCAGTGGCAGGAGGCACAAGGAATTTTTGGTGTTATGGACAGGGTGGAGCTTGGACGATGCCTCCTGGGTACCGGCTGGAAACTTCACCTATGCGAGAGAGTTGCAGAAGATGATCAAGAGGGACAAGCCTGAGGAAGTCACTAGTATGGGATAGTGACACTTTCGAGGGCGAAAGCTACCCCAAAGAGAGAGTACTGTTGTGGAGCTACTTGGGGGCAGGCAGTAAATGATATTTTCTGCACCTATATTACGTAATCTCGCTGAGTCATCCTTTTTGTGGGTTTATTATGCTTTCCTGGTTCCAATGCTTCTTTCAGCACTCAATTCTATGGATTACTGAGGAAGATACGGCCTCGTGAAGACACAGTACTTAGAGGCCGGGTGCTGGACGGGGATGGTTGGAATTAGAGCTAGATTAGGTTGATAATAAGTGACCGGGGGCGCTGGGACATGGTCCGTACATTACACTGTGTTGTCTTGTCTGATGTGACGCGATGGACCCGCGACCGGGCATCGCGTAGGTACATTGGATGCGCGCCGCGTTGTGTCAGACTGTAACCGCATTCGGGCCCCCTCTCTGCAATGCCGCGAGGCAGCGAACCGCCGTCCGCCGCCGCGACTCCACCGCCTGCATACGGCAGGCTTCGGGGAAGGTCCCCAAGCGTCCAAGGGCCCACCGCGCTACCGAACAACCGAGCACCCCAACAACGCCCGCCGGAATCCGGCGGAGAGGCGCGGCATCGAGGCCGCGCTATCGGGTGCGGCGACCGCCCCCAACACTCCGGAAACCAGCGGCCGCCCGCGGGCCGCAACAGCGTGTGAATGCCGAACGTGGGACGGGCGGCCATGTGGAGTAGTAGATGAGGATACATGCATGGGTGGCCAGGGCTATAGAAGGAGGATGCCTGTGCAGTCGGGCAGAGTTGTGGACAGAGGGTTCCACTTTTGCGAAGCAAGTGCAGAAGAAGCAATTTTTGGAGAAATGCCCAATCTAGTTTAAGACTTACTGTTATGGCATCAAATTCATGTGAATAAATAAACACAAACATGCATGTTTATATTGTCATGCGCATATATGTGTAAGCAAAGAAGTGCCGATTTATCCAGCTATACACTATAGCTTAAGTATTGTTTAAGAGTTTTATGGCGTGTTGACACCCCTAAGTTACATGATGATTAGTCCGCCAGCCTCGCAATACCCACAACACAACATCCACCTCGCCCCAGCCAAGGGCAACGGTGCCCTGGACCAAACGGCCGTCCTATGTCCACTCCAGCGCGTTTGACTGCCACCCCTGGACTCCTTGAGTCTGTATGTAGTGGCTGTATGCACACAAGGCCCATATTCACATATTTTTACACTTTGTTATGCATAGACGTCAAAAATATTCTTAGCTATAAACACGCATAATTATGTGCTGTTTATGCACTGCAGAACAAGTTTTTTTAAAACATGGACAAGAGCCAATTCCGTTCTTGTTCCGCCATTTTATGAAGGCGAGGGCTTGGGGCTGACGTGTCATGGATGGCAACAGAGCGCCCCAGCCAGAAAACACCCAACAAATGCAGCAAAAGCACCGTAGCTTTGATGCTAGTCATCGTGTTGGCATTTTCACCAATCATATTAGCCAGAATTCAGTCCTAGTCGTTCCTTGATAATTTCAGACTCTGCAAACTCGCAGAGAAGATATCAACACATACCCATGAAGAGAGCTTCGTATGACAAGAAAAGGGAGGCGCAGGGGCCAGCATCGCTCATCAACGCGGCGGGTTCATCCACGACGGCGAGGCCATTATTTGAGGGCATTGAATTTCACGAAGCCAGGGCCAAAGAAAGCTCCGCAGGAAGCTACCCAGAAAGACCGACGTCGCAAAGCCCAAGAGCGGTGAGCCGAAGTGAAGTCCACCCCTTCCTCACATCCCCCCACCGCACCCGCCCCTTCCCACCCTTGCCGAAATATCTGGGCGTTCAGCCGCGCTGAACGCCCGGATACGCCCCCCCTGGGCCGCGGAATCCCCTCGCGTAAATTGCGCCGACGCTCCGCGACTTTGACCGCCGGCAGGCCCTTGGGCGCGCGCCCCCCGTCCCCCCCGCCACCCCCTCCCCCGGCTGAGACTTGGCTGCAGAAAGGACCTCCGCATTGACACGGGCGGCCCCTTGATCCGCGGCGCTGCCCGCGTGTCCGTCGCGCCCCCTCTCCTCGTCCCTCGCTGGAGGGAGCCTGCCGGAGAGCGGGCCGGCTTGAACCAATTTGAGCCGCGTCCAAGGTCAGTGTCGGAGTGGCAGCGGGGGCTTGGGGGTGCCTGCGGGGCGCTGGCGAGAATGCCTCGCTGCCGGAGGGCCCCACACTGCGTGCCGGCCGGCTGCCGCGTGATCCGGCCCCCTCCAGGGTGGTCTCCGTGTCGTGCCCGTGGTTGCCACTGTGCGGCTGCGCGGGGGGAGAGACCACCTTGTGGACATCCCCGCCCGTGGGGCCGCGAGCGTAACCGAGTTACATTGATTTTGGGGCACCTTCGCGCGTCACCGTGCGAATAGTCCCACCAATCGTCCCACCAATAGTTAAAATAGTCCCACCGTGCGCTTGCGCTCGCGCGAACGGGCATGCCTGGTTGCCGTGCGGGCTGTTTTGGTGGTGCTGGAGGATGCCATGGCTGGTGGTCGTTGCAGACCGCCAGCAGAGGGACGCTGTTTTTGACTATCTTAATTCAGCAGAGACACGTGATATGACCAGTGTGTCGGTTTTGCACTCTGCCTGCAAGGATTTCCATTCATTCATTCAGCGCTGGTGGTGGTGGTGGCTGTGTTGCGCAGGAGGGCTAGACCGGCCGGGAGGGGGCGGTGGAGCGGCGTCGCGGCCGGCGCGAGCCTGAGCGTGCCGCCATGTCGATCTACTTTGTCCACGGCTACAGGCACATGGTGAGGCCGCCTTCGGGTTTGGGGAAAGCAATCAATGCGCGCAGGGTGAAGGGAATAGGGAGCAGCACTGTGGCGGCATGCCCCCCTATCCTGAGCAGAGAACTTTGGTGAGAGACTGTTCGGCGCCGATGACCCTTGGGGATTGGTGGGTCTGCCGACCGGCCGCTAAGTGCTATGTATGAGGGCTGCTTGCTGAAGACGGATTCCAGCGAATGGTGTATCTCCGCTTGGGAGTTGGTCCTTCTTTACTGGAAGGTGGTCGATCTTCTCTGTATCGTCTCGGTATCCTAAATCTTGTAACTAGGTCAAGTGCAGATGTAGTAGCATGGATAGCAAGATGTGGAAATGGCTCAGCGACATGCATTGACTCAAGGCAATGACTCAACGATTCCCAGGGATGGTGCCTGGGTGCTGATTGTACTGTTGGCACTGCTGTGGCATCGGTCCTTCAATTGTAAAGGTATCACAGAGTTGGCACATGGGACCAAAACAAGGATGCCGCATATTGGGCATGCCTATGACATATTGGCTGTGAGAGCAAATCGCACCATGAGGACCTGGGCTTTTCCTGGCTGCCACACTCCCAGTGTGCTGGCAGAAGAATTGGGATGGAAAACAAGAAGTCGAGTTGTGGCAATCCAGCCTGCAGCAGTGTGTCGGGCACCAGAAGACTCAAGAGAAATGTTACCCTATGGGCATATGAGAATCTCTCTTGCAGTCAAGGGAAGCCAGGGCTAGTGCTGTTGGCAAGGATAGGCCCCTTGCAACATCAAAATGATGCTGAATTAAGCGAAACCTTTTACAGGTAGCAGCAGTGGATGGCTATGGACTGGCTTGAAGGCATGAAGGGTTTCTTTCCGCCAAGTGACTGAGCACTGCAATGGAATGGACAGAATAGTGCCTGCAACGCTTTGCAGGAAGGTTGGCACAATTATTGGTGGCACTTGTTCAGAAGAAAGTTTCACAATTTTCAGGGACAACTATCAGGAACAGCATTTGTGCATCCAACAGAAAATGTGCTTGATGACAGGGAAGTTGAACCCATCACAATGTCCTGGACATGGCCTTCAAGTGCCTGAAACAAGCACCTGAGTATCAACCTAAGTGGAGTTAGAAATGGTGGCTCCACAGCCAGTACACTGCACAGAGGTTGTGTGCCTTGAAACATTTTGCTGGCAATGGCAGCTGTCTGCAGTAGTATGCTTACACTAATCAATGCTGGCACTTGGCGATTTGGGACCAGGGAGCTTGTGACTACTTCTCATACGAGGGTCAGCAGTTCCATGTGACTTCAAGGATGTTTCATATCCAGCACTGTCCCTTCTCTTCCGATCAGCCCAGGTTGCGATTGCCTGGGTTGCCAAGCATTGGCCTAGATGTTTCAGATGTTCCAGGTGGGTGCTGCACAAACAGTTCACAGCCTGTCCGACAAGCCAGGATACGTAGATAAGCACACCTTTGTCTGTGTGGCATGTGGCATGTGCAGGTTAATGTGGCTGTGCCAGGAGTTGGTGGTTGTAGTGAGTTGCAAGGGCGTTGAACAATATTGTGATTGTACATTGTCTGGATTGTGTTCAGCCTTTTGTGGATGTCCAGGGTCTGATAGGGCTCTCTTTTGTGTATCCTTTTGTCTAACACACAGGCAGTGTGTATCAGGCCACAAATTGCAGTTGTGCACTGAGACATCAGTGTTGATGTAAGGACCGTTGCGACCTCATATTGGTGCAGCCAATCAGTCATATCAGCAAGGACACACAAGCACACACAACTACAGGCCCATTCAGGGTTGGGTTCCTGTGTGGAGCATCTCTTCACCAGACAGACATGTGGCATCGTTGCCAAGGTTCAATTCAATTGTAGCGGACGGCTCTGTTGCAGACAAATCGTTCAATGTAGCTATGGGGTTCGCTTTTTGCTACTCCATCGGATGGTGAAGCAGCTTCTGAATAGAGCAGACATCTGATAGCTGATGTCTTCCCATGTTTGTGACATCTGACTGAATAGCCAAAGCATAAGCAGTGCGAACGAGGCTCTTTTTTTTCTTTTCTTAGAGCCTAATATGACGACTTTCAAGTGCCCAGGACAGTGCCAAAACCATATATTGTCGGGTACTTGGTGCAGTGAATATATGAGCTACTAGTCTGTGCTGTGCAGGGGCTGCTAGTCGATGCTTCAAGTGGGCAGCCCTCCGTTGGCACACTCTCATCTTGGGCGTGTTCTTTTGCTTCTTTGCGTTCGTTTTCATGTGCGTAGCAGCAAGGTAGGGGGGCGCCATGTCATTCCCTGCTGTATTCTGTGTTCTTATTTGCTGTCGCTGTACACTTATGTACCGTAGTATATTATACCCTTCCGCAACATGACTGAACGTTTGGCCTTTTTATGCAGAGCAATAATGAAAACGTAATGGTGCCAAGAAATGTAGAGCAGTCCCAGTTGCAATGCCAGTCTTGTAGCCCCAGCTGCATGAGTCACCGTGGCACTTGAGGCCTTGCGAACTGAGCAGAGTCGCCATTCTGGCTTTGACGGTGATACGGATCCCCAAAACAATTGTCTGTCAAAAAGTGCAGAGAAGAAATCGTAATTCTGAAATTTCAACGTGCGGAATGGTCGAGTATACTATGGTATGTCCACAAACATGCAGCATCTTGTGTGCCTCGGTTTTCCCTTGCAATGGGCGAAGGGGCAGCTGCGCGGAGGCCTTTGCGTGCCTGCCTTGCCCAGTTCAGTTTACTTTTTCTCAGGTGAAGATAGCCACTGATGTGCAATCGTATCCAAGAGTCAAGAAGTATTGCTTTGGCTCTTGCACTGCTGGACTCAGTCTGAGCTAATTTCAAGACGATGCAGTTATGAGCGCCTGTACATATCTGTTTGCTGTTGCCATTTTTTGGCAGACAGTACCAGCACTCTGGAGGTGCTGTACTATTGCAGTCCTTGCTCGCTTCAGCTGTATGTGCATGCAGGCTTTGCCACCAGCAGTCTTTCCACTGTTCCATGAGAACAGTGCCACCCCGATGGCAGTTTCCTCCCAACTGCCCTATCATGCATATGGATCGGTGCCAACCTGACTGCAGCCTTGCTCCCACCATTCACTGTTCTGGCCATCATCAGGGCTTGCCAAGCTGGTGCAGCCCGTGACCAAGGATTAAAGCTGGGCACTATATCTAGTGTAAATGTGATTGCAGCCTTGTGCTCACCATTCGTTGTTCTGCTGTCCAGTGGGCTTGGCATAGCACAGTTGGCAGCAGGCGTGTCTCTGCTGCTGCTTTCTCTTGGTGCATTCTTACAGAGGCCAGCACCCCCTGCATATGCTCTGGAGATGTACATCGACAAGATTCAGCGTTTCAGCAGGATCTTGGCCGCAGCCAGGGCTGCAGCTGCGGTGAGTTGGGATGCAAAGGCAAAGGCTTTGTGGTCAAGATAGTACAACTTGCTAGGAATTGTACCACTCTGCGTGAATGGGTGTTTGAGTTTAGTTTTTTGAATGGGCTGTCCCCATTCAACTGCAGGAAGGTAAGAATTATACTGCCACATTGGTGTCAAAATAACACTGACAGCTGTCGACTGTTTCTGGGCTTGTTACAGTGCAGTGGGACAGGACTGGCACGCTGCGCATTTGCTTTGCCAGTGTCTTCTCTTGTGGCTCTTCTGTTCCAAGAATTCATGCTGGTTCAGGTTTCTGAGTTCAGATAAGGGAATTTAGGATGTGTTCAAGGCATCTGGGCAACAAGTGCATTGCCCCTAACAGTTGCTGGACACTATCAGCAGTGGTAAATACCGTCTTCATGGCTGTCTGTTGATGCGATCTCACACAGGACGAGGGGCCTCCAGAGCCTGCCCGTCACATACCCCTGCTTACCGCCACCGTGCCAATGCACGAAAGCTCCCTGGACCTGGAAGCGGCCTCACCCAGTGGCCAGGACGACAAGGATGACGCCCAGGAGGACAAGCCATTGCTCAGAACGGCCGCTCAGTGACATCCACTGCAAAGCCATAGCTACCAGACAAATGTGGGCACATCTGGTGCAGTGATTTTCCGGAAGATGGTGGTGAGTTTCTTAAACATTCAGGAGTGGCGTTTCCAATCCCCTCCCCTGCCAAGTTTCATCGCTGCCTTGCTGCTCCACGTCTTGGACTTGGCCCAGCGGTTGCGATGGTGGACTGAGGGAGGCTGGATGCATTGCAGTGGATTCAGAGCAGTCATGCTGGCCATGCCCCATGAGCGTCCTCTTGTTGCCTGCCAGCAACGTAGACTGTTGGGATGCTGTGCTGGGTGGGGATTTGCACAACAATGCCTGCACCAGCTGTCATGGGAGCATTGGTGCTTGCGCAGAAGATGGCCAAACACAGGCCATTCAGGTGCTGTTTTCTCAATCCTCACGATGCAGAGGCCCAGAGCCAGGTGGCATGAAGACGCCTTCAGACGTCAGATCCTGTCAATGGTCGTTGGAGACCTGTGCTGGGCAACAAGATGAATCACGCTCTCTCCAGAGTGTCAGGGCCCTGTGGGCTTTGCAGGGCTGATGTCTGCAGCGATGCGACCAACGTTGGCTTGTGGCTAGAGTGTTTCAGACCTGTTTCGGGATTTTTTGAGAGTTTTTCTTCGTTTTCAGTGGCGTTTGAAGGGAGTGAGCGGTGTTATGCGAGGCATGGGGCGGTGGCCGGCTCCAACACAAGGCTTCTGCAGTATGAAGTCTGTTTGCAGACCCGACTGCCCTTCGGGTAGGTGGTGAGATTAGGAATCGTGGTGCTGACAGCAAGTGAGAGGAGTTCAGCCTTGTCCAGCTCGGTGTGGGAACAGTGCAGTTGATTAATAGCTAAGGAAACGTGCTGTATGGACGCCGCACTGTGAATGCAGACTATTGCAGAGCAGCCAATTGTGTATCCGCTGAAACCACATACCTTGGTCTGCTGCCCAATGAAGGAGTTGGGTAGACGTTTCCATTGCACATATCGATGGGTTGCCTATTGCGACAAACCCGACGGCGTCTTGTTCGCTTTCGATTCTGCAAAGATGCAACACGTGTCGTTTCTCCAGGGGCGAAAAGGAATGTTTCGAGAACGTTCAATAACAGGAATGGGCAAGTGAAATCAGGGGCCCCCACCTTGCCCATCCCAACACGATTGGTTGCTGCGTTCAAAATGTGAACAGGTGAGGCGGAACGATGCAACAAAGCAATTACTCTTGCTCATGGGACTCGGTATGATCATAGACTGTTGGCGCACTCGCTCGTGCAGTGGTGACCCCTATGCGTGAACATCAAGCCAAAACATCACGTGACCCGCACCATGCAGCGCCTGAAATTGTTTGCAGATCGTCGTTGCAAGTGCCTCAGGTCTTGAATCCTTCTGCCACCGTGGCATTTCATTGCATCAATAAAGTGGCAGGTCCCCCGTTTTTTTTTTCGGAGTCATGTCAGATGGCGGGCTGAAACCGCCCTGAAGCACACCAGTTCGGACAATTTGTGCAGCTGGAAAGCTGAACCATCCCGCAATCCGGACAGAGTCCGGCAAGAAACCGCGAACTGGTCCCAAAATCGAACACCTGCAATTGACGACTTTGCAACTTGGACTGAAGTTGGCCACTGCTGTTAGGGGCACATGCTGCGCCATGGTAACCTTAATTGGTGCCGCGGTGCAGTTGTGCCGCACAAGTGCATGGCGGGTACCAATTAGGGTTACCGTGATGGCATTTACATAGCTGAGTCGTCGTCTCTCTCGTGGTTGTGCGCCAATTCATTGCATTATGTGATATGGTTAGCAGCTTGCCACACTTCTGCGCCATGCGCTATGCAGCGCACCACTGCATCACAAGTAACAATCTGTGTTATGTGAAGGGCGGCGGTTCATTATGGCCGTCATCCCCGGAGATAGCACAATCAAATCAACCCTGAACGGGCAGCTGAGCCACGTCGACAGCCGCAGAACCACGTCAGTTGAGGGTGCACTGAACGCACAAGCTTTCCCCCTCACGCGAACTGACTCTTCACGAAGAACTGCTTGTCACGACGACGGCAAGGGAAGCCTCATACGAGCAGCAAACATCCAATTGACTGTCAAGCATGCAAACGCGCTTGTAGGACCTCTCGCAGCTGCCTCCCCGAGTGCCACAACAGGTCGCAGCCACTTCCCAATGGTCAGCTACGTCAGGGCGCAGTTCAGCCCCGCGGGTCGGGGCAGCCTTGTCCACAACGTAGCGATACAATGCACGAAAGATGCTCCTTTCCGCCCGACGAGGCTGTGCAGCGTCGAAGGTTGGTCGCTTTTGGCCAGCAGCACGACCGCACTGGCACTGCTGGTCTTGAGCGGCAAGGAAAGCGGCTCAGAAAAGGCACAGACTGGCCGCGACCTTCGAAAGGTCGAGCGCTATTGCGCTAAGGCCGTGGCTAACGATGCGCACACGGCCAGGGGAGTCAGGCAGCCAGACTGAGTGTCTAGACTGCTTCGAGAGGCACACACGAACGCTGCGCAACCCTTCTTACAGCTGCCAGGCCGAGGCTACAATACAGAGTGCCCCGCAGCTTTCGCCACGCCCCCAGTACTTGTAAGCCCCCCAAGCTCTGGCAGATACCCCCAATTCCTCAGAGATGCTCTTTTGATACCCAGAAACTTTCTGCCACACCCGCCGCTTCACTGCAACTCAAACCGGTACGCCCCACTGCCCGCAATCAGCCACCACGTAATGCCCCAAGGGCCATGTTCCCATCAAGCAGCCACGTGGCGCCTCCACACGCCACTCCTGGCTCCGTCTCACCGAGGTCCGTAGCAGACCGCCAGGTGGGCAGCCCCTAACCAAACGCACGCGTTCAATGGCAACCTGGGTGCTCATCTGGCCGGGTGTGTCTGGCTCGTGTGTTTCCGTGTGATGCGCTGCCGCATATTGACGTTGTGCTCAGCATCTCTGCAGTATCTTAGTGGACTCTCTGGGCATATGGTGAATTTGACATAGTCTTTCGTTGTGATCGAAGTCATCTCCCTGCGTTCTGAGTGCCTTGAGCTCACAATACCAGAAAATTGTGTTAGCATGCCTGACTGATGAATTTGGGTCTCCCCACCTCATTAAGCACCAACCTGCCTGATGATGATCAGTGTGGCGAAGGCGATGAGGCTGGCGACATCCAATCTGCACCATGTCTGGACCTCACGTGTCGCCAGCTGAGGGATACCATTAATTTGCTAATTTTTGATGAGCCCCACTAATTGGCGACCCGAACAGTTACTGTAGTGCCCTGACTCGGACAATGCCACACACCCTTGCACAAGGTTCTCGCCGAAGTGTGATGGTGGGCGGCAATGTGGCTCCTTGCCTTGCACTATACCTCAAGTAAAACAAGGACGGCGATCTGCCAACTAGAGTTGACGGATTGTGAAGAAGGTGCCATGGACACACAACAAAATGGGGTGAATCTTCCCCACCATCGCCACTTTTCTTGTGGCAACAGAGCAAGAAAGCTGCATAGTGAGGGGGAACAGCCTATATTTGTGTGTTTGCCCTTTGTAGTCTGCATATGCCGCCATAAAATTCCAATGTGAATGCGACCGAACTTACCAAGACGGCATCATCAAGATCAGGGCTGCAAAATCCGCGCGAAATGAGATTTCTCAGGACAGCTGCAGGCTTGAATGATGGCAAACATGGAAGCACTCCTGGCTCATCTACAAATTCCACTTTGGTGAAGGCAAACGACGCCAGTTTTTTGGCACGCGTTGTAGAAGCAAAGGCTGTAGGCCGCCACTCACAAGCTCAGTGTGTGGCAAAATTTTGGCCCAAACAACCTGATTCGGTCAAGATGTCCAACAAAACGCCGCAAACTTTGGAAACGAAACGTGAATTCGGAAATTGTCTTGCGAGGCTTAAGGAAGAACACTTTGGACCTATGTTCCTTAACGCTGTGGGGGTGGGGCTTTTGCCAATCATTGTGAGGTCAGTGTAGACCGCCAGCAATGTTACCCTGTCTGACTATCTGGGTTCAGCAGATACACGTGACATGACCAAATGTGTGCCGAATTTCATCATCATCATCATCATGATTTTTCACAGAACAAGGCAATGAGGTAGCCGTTAGCTTCCTATTTTGCCTGAGCAAAGCAAAGTCGGTGATTGGTTCATTGGAATCTAATGAGAAATACAAAATAAATCTATGATCTATGAACTTTCGATGCCTAGGAGTGATAATCGATGGTAATACATCAAACGAAGTGTGTTCCCAAGCTGGCGAGCTGGAACTGTAGCAAAAAGTACTTTTGCATTGCGACATTGAAAAATACGAGGGTGGCTTCAACGGATGTTGTCGTAGGCTTTGCAGTGGAAGAGAAAATGGATCTCGTCTTTAGGTGCCAAGTGGCATAAAAGACACAATCGCCTTGAAAATTCTGGAATGGATTGTCTCGCTTGGTGTCGTTGACTCTCGAATTCTCGACTTCTAGAAAATGCATCCCACAGCGAAAGCGTAGGAAGAAAGTCGTCAGGGAGATAGGTTGTAAGGTTGACAGGAATCGTTCATATCGGTAGACTGGCTTGATGTGCTTGTACCAACGCTGAATTCTTGAAGAATGGCTGGTGAAGACATTGGCGGTGTGGATGTGTTTGTAGATCCGTTGAAAGGACTGTATGTCGACCGGGATAGCCTCCGTGAAACAGAGATCCGGCCAGAATCGATGGAAGAAGGCAAGGATCCGTCCATACCACGATCGAGGAATGGTAGAGAATTGTTGAAACCCGGACTTGAAAATGGCGCCACGAACCCGAGAATTGGGTAGTTCCACCATTCGATTCCAGTATCGCATCAATTGTCTCCATAAATAAAACTCTAAAGGTGAGTGCTCCCATTTCGGCATATATAATCCCCAGTGGCGTATTTCACGTTGCCTGTAAAGATGTTCATTCATTCATTCCTTCATTCAAGTGAAAAACAAAAGAAAAGCACGAGCTCCTCCACTCTCCTTCGCACCCGCTTCGTTCTGCTCACTCTTCACGGTGCTGCCCGTTTCGTGTGACGCCCAACAGGCCCGATGGCAGCAGTGCCGCGCGTATGTCAGCCGGCCTGGCGCGCCGCGGCACCTCTGGGGTGAACTCCGCCCAACCTCTGAAAGCCCAGCTTCCCGCCCCACGCCCGCGCTCCGCACCCCCGGCCCCGACGCAGCCCAAACGGTGAGCCCGCCCATCCCATGGCGCCGCGCGCCGCGCGCCGCGCGCTGGCCCCCCTTGTCGATCTTCCCCGCGGCGAATTTCCCCGACGGGGACGGGTGTGCGATCTTCGCCAATCTCCCAAACGGTGCACGTCGTCCACCACGTGGGCGGTGCTTGCGCTTGGAGCCTGGCGTGATCGTGAATTCTGATCCGACGGGGAAGCGCGGTGCCTGTCGGCGCCGGCGGGCCGATTGTCGGCACGTCGTCCACCACGTGGGCGGTGCTTGCGCTTGGAGCCTGGCGCGATCGTGAATTCTAATCCGACGGGGAAGCGCGGTGCCTGTCGGCGCCGGCGGACCGATTGTCGGCGCTCGCGCGGCTGCTCCCGGACTTTTCCCCCCACGCCACGGTCATTTTTTTTAGTCGCGTTGGAGCGATCCTCTTGGACTGCTGCTGGTAGCTTCGTTGCTCGCCCGACCCGCCCACGCCTTTGCGCTCTGCTCTCGGCGGCTCATCGACGCCCCATGGCCCTGCCTTGCATCATTCGTTTGTTCCAGCGCCGTCCGTCCGCCGCTGCGCCGCTCGGCCAGGCAGCCAGGCGGCCAGGCGGTGCAGCGCACCGCCTGCGGCACGCATGGAATCAAGCCGACCGGCGCGCTTTGCGTGGCTGACCCGCAGGTGCCGCATCGCGCGCTCGAGAGCCGCTGCGGGACGCGGACGACGATGAGCTGCTCCCGGGCCCGCCGCGCCTTCGGCGTCCTTGTTGCGGTGAGTGGCGCACGTCGGGCTGCTGTCCCCCGTGAGGCGCTGCCTTGCCGTCGGCGGCAGAGGGCGTGGGCGGCTCAGTATCGAACGACTGCGGCCTCAAGCGCCGGGGAGGGAGTTTGGTTCGGGTGGGGTGGGGTGGGTGGGGAAGCGGGTCGCTGACGGGACAAATCAGGGCGGACGTGGAGGGGCTCAGGAAGCAATGCGCGCCTGGATGGTCTGTGCCCGTCCACTCGGCGCAGGGGCCGGCAAATGCAGCCGGCCTTGGCCAGCAGGCTCCGCCCCGCGGGAGGTTTCTTATCATCGCCGCCTTCTTGCTGGGGCTGCGCTCTCTTGCGCGATCGGCCGGCTGAGAAAGAGCTGTGTGTGTCCGCAGCTGCTCTGCTTGCTGGCGGCCGACGCTCAGGACGTGAATTGCACGGTGCCGGAAGGTGAGGGCCAGGGGGCGCAACCGCGATCCCCGCTGCGCGTCGCGCGGCCAGAGGGATGCGTCGGCTGGTGCGCTATGCGTCGTCACGTGGCGGCCGTGCTGCCGAATGGATCAGTTTCGCGTCGGCCTTGTCGGCCTTCTCTCGCGGCTGGCGACCACCTTGGCCTTGCCATTGGGCCCAATCCTTGACGTGGCCCCGCTGCCTTGCTGGCCACGGTCACGAGGTTTAGGGACGTGGGGGTCGCCCTGCGTGGAATGGCGCGCCGTGTTCAACAATGGGTGGATGCGAGACCGCCAGGGGCACAGTATTTTGGCCACCCTGCGAGATCTCTTCTTGTACAATTTGTACCAGCTCGGGTCTGTGTTGAAAATGTGGTAAAAACTCTCAGATCAGATTGGCCTTCTCCAGGCCAATGTGTGCCAGACAGTGCCCTTTTACCTTGCAGGCCGTGACAGCCAGTTCAGTTGTGGTGGGGAGTCAAAAGTTGGGTGCACGGGGACTGGCAGGGCATGGTTCCTGCTGAGCACCGAAACTGTTCCAAGGGGATGTGCAAGCAGTGCTGACCAAGTCATGTCTCACCAGGTGGCATTTTGGTCATGCTTTGTTGTGTCCCTTGGGCTGTAGTGCATACCCCTGGTCGTTGATCAGGACACAAAAAACAATCTGGGACAAGAGGGAAATGTAGCAAGCCACCGCATCACACAAATTCCATTGCCACACTAGTTGCTGTGAGAACAGCAATACCCTCTGTCTATTGTAACTGGCATTCAATATTGCATCTATGGGAGGGCAGCAATAATCTGCAAGGAGTCTATGCCTGTTTGCTGTTGTGATGGATATGTTAATATGTGGATGGGATCCGCATTCTGGACACAAGGGTGACTTACTGATCAGAGCAACTAAGAGCCTGGCATGCCTTATGGCGGCCTCTGGTCAAAATTGTCAACAGACTTTGCGACTTTTACAATCTTGTACATTGATGAAGTGCTGCACGCTTCTGGATAATGCTGCCAGTCCTTCCAAGCAACTGTAATGACGCTGCTTTGTTACAGAAGGATAAATGTAGCCAAACGGTATTTCAGTGTGTGCAGTTGTCACACTCATGGCTCAATTGGATGTCATACAATGTTCTGACACCAAACATTGGTCTGCATGGTGCTGCAGATGGTGCAACTCCAAGCACACCTGAGGAAATCGCAGGTACAATACAGGAGCCTGTTTTCTGGTGTGATCTATGGATCCATGCATGCTAGCCCCTGCAACAGCTTGCAGAGTGAAATTTCAACTCTTGCCTTTTGTGTGTCAAGAAAGCATTGCTCATCCACCCACAAAGCTCTCAAGTGCTATATTGCCTGAAGTTGTGCCAGAGTGTTCCTGCGCAGCTTGGTCTTATCTTCTGACCTCAAGACGGCCTAGTCAAAAGAACGAGCATCCAGGCCCCGTGATATGTGGCATCAGTGATATGTGTGTATCAGGGCTGGTACTTGGTTCAGCAGCTTGCAGGTGCTGCCCTGTCTTCCTTTGTTTTTTTTTTTTCATTTTCCCATCCTTGTTTCGCCCATGCACATATGCTCAACTTCTCAAGACTGTGCACTTATGGGAGCTTCAACAACACACCACAGCACGTTCGGGTGGGCAGTTGAAGTCAATGTGGCGCTTCTCTGCATGCATCCACGCATTGTACGCCAATTGACAAGTCTGGGTGGAATGCACCAATGGATGAATTTGGTCTTGCACTGGTTAGCATACTTGGAACTGTACTGTACTGTACTACTTTGCTGTGCTGCACTTTTACGTGTACTGTACATGTGCTGCACCCCTTTATGAGCTTGCAGCTGTACTGCTAGACACCTGTCTGACCACATCAGCACTCTCTTGTTGGAGGTCAGTGCATCCATTGCTCCACTGGGTTGCATGATGAACGACATAGTTTGTTATGTTTAATGATTATCATAGCTATTATCGTAATCTTAGAATATCTTGCGGCACAATTGCGCTAAAGGCAGTACTCAGCCAGATGAACCAATTTTTTCCAGTTTACCTGTCAAAATGCCGATGCAATTGGGTGCCTGCTACTTGCAGACACAGTTCCTGTCATTGTCCAGCCTTGTAGGGTGGCTTGTCAGAGTGTGTTTGCAACAGCACTCCATGCGCCAACACAGTTTCTGTGGTGTGTAAGGGTATCTTCAGTGCTGCAAGGATGCTGGGGAGCTCGCATCTCTTGCCGCTGCTATCGCTGCATGCTCAGAACTTGCTAACAAGTGTCCAGCCCCTCCACCCATGGACAACAGCATTGTGCCGTTCTCAACAGGATCATCCTTTGTACCCACGCCAGCAGAAGGTGAGAAGTTGTCACCCTCCACATCTCCAAAGCTACCCTCACAAGTGTGAATGGGTAGGCATTGCCCATCTCAAGATAGGGCAGTGTGGACCAAATTCTTCCTTTCGGCATATGCTATTCCTGGAACTCTATCAACTCTTTTCTGTGTGGGCGTTTCACCACATTCTGTCTTTGGGGGGAAGGGCCAGGACACCTGACATTGTCAGTGTCGATCGTACGATGAAGAATCCGGCCTTGCAGTGGGTTGCTGCCTGAAATCCCTCGAAGTGAATGCATTGCAATGTTGCTGATGGTTTGTTATTTTGCCTCTAGCTCTTCGCATGGCCACTGCTGCCTGACGGCCTCGGCTGCAAAGGCCTGGCAGTGCTTAATTCGTTGTCGAGTTTGTACCTGAGGAGTCGCCTGACACACAACTTAATGACACTTTCAGTGTGCCTTAGCGCACTTTGTACTTTACTTTATTGACTTTGTTGGCGTATACACTGGCAGCTCAACACAGCGCTGTACTCCAGTTTCTTGACTAACCATTTCCTGGTGGTCAGTTTGGGGGAGACATGCTTGATGTGGGGGTAAACGTGGGGCTTGCACGACATGGCTTGCATGACATGTGTGTCTCCCCTCTCGAGCATCATTTGCATGTGTGCGGGCAAGTGTGCAAGGGACTCAAGGCAAAATTCTTCCTTGGGCAAAGCAAGGAACTCATGGCTATCTGCTGGCTTACATACTTTTCCTTGGTCGTTTCGTAGGTTTTATATGTGTTAGCGCTCTACAACCTTGACAAACTCGTCCCCATCGTCTTGTCAGTGCTGCATCTTACCAACTAGTTGCTCTGTTTCTTGATCGTTGGTACCATGCCAGCATTAGTGTACAACTACATTGGTACATATCTTGGTGGTATGCTATTGGCATCGTAGCAGCGGGGTACTGTGCTGCTAGCACATCATCACTGTATGGGTGTGCACAGATGGTGCCATTAACACCACCTGGCGAGGTTCAATCGCGTCTGCCGCCTCCTTGTGAACAGTGGCATCAGCCCAGCCCAGAGCTTCCCGCGCTGACACCCCCAGCAGTATGCATTCTTGTCATCGAGTGATTGGTGCTGATCATGTGTGCCCCCGGACAGAGCTGCTGAAGATGGCCCTTGCGGAGGCATGCGTGGTCTCCGTGCAGGAGAGCTGCAAGAGCATTGCCCGTGGCCTGACGCAGGACAGCGTGTTCACGACCATCTACAACACCTCTTGCGCTGACACACTGAATTTTGGTCCCGCTGTCCCCGTCATCGGCTGCGAGAACCTGACGGTTGCCAGCACGCTGTTCGAGACCGCCGTGGCGGACATCTGCGAGACGGAAGTGGACTTGGAAGACGTCATGGCGTCCCTCCAGGAGGGCATGGAGGAAGACGGCGGTCGCTGAGCGTGGCGCCAAATGGGCCATGCAACACCAGGCAGACGCAAACAGATTATGAATGAGAATGTACTGATTCCCCTTCTCTTCGCTGACTCCCCAGTCTTTTCGGTGCTTGTGCTTTAGATTTAGGGTGCATCAACTGCCACAAAGGCTAGGGTCTTCGCCAGAGAGACTGGGCGATTAATGGCTCCCATCGTGAATGTTGTTCTGTTGATGTGACGGGTCAGATTGGCGAGGGCATTCGACCGTCAAGAACCAGCACACGGATTGGGCTGGGTGGGGGACGAATCGCCGTTTTCTGATCCCAAATTCTGGGTCCGAATTCACGGATTGCGGTTCTGACGGCAGTTTTTGAATTCAACCAGGCAGGGAGCGCTGCTCGCTTTGCATTGACGACCGCAGTTGCAGGATTTGGGGTTTCATGGCGTTGGGGTTTGGCGAGCGTGGGGGGGAGCCAGCTTCCAGGGCACGGTGCAAAGGCTCGTGGGCGTGCGGACGCCCTTGTGAACCTTGGGACGAGCTTTCTGCTTGTGGGCCGGATTGACCGCCACTTTAGGAATGCTGCCATGCGTGCGGGCCAGCGGGACCAGCTGTGAATGCACTGACACTGCTCGTTGCGCTCCCGTTCTTCGCAATGAGATACTGGGAGAAGATGCGCGCGCATGCGATCGAGCACCAAAACGGTACAAGTGACCTGCATTGGGCTGGCGACTGTTGGACAACACTTGCGAACATACAACGGCCGGTAGCTTGTGGAAATTTGCCAAGCAGCAAATCCTGTTGCCTTTAGTGCTGGCCGCACCTCCACTTGCCGTTGCGCAAGCACTGATCAGCTCCTCCGTACCCCACGAGGGGCTTGGCAGCATCTCCATGCCTTGGTGTTCACCGTTTCTGACAGCCTGCCGCCGGGGAGGTTCGCCGCTGGGGCTGTGCAGCATACGCCCGTGGGCCTCACCTCCTGTGGGATGTTCCGCCACGACGCACCCCCTTCTCCCGAATCCACGCCACCACCATTCCCCAACCGCCCAAGCCTAGACATTACCCAGGAGTGGACTTAGGTCGACTGTGGCCCCCACCCAGCTTTGCAAGCCAGCGGCAAGGGCTGGTGTGTCAGAGCAGCAGGCCGCCAGAAATTGGGGCGGCCAGCGCGGGGCACGCAGGCTGGCCCCTTGCGACGAGAAGCCCCTTGGGCGGGCAGCTCGGCGACCCACAGGTCAGTCGCGGGAAATTTTCGGTTGATCTGTGGTCAATTTGACCGCGTCAACTTGGCGGCTGCCGCAACGGCGGCCTTCGCCGAGCCCAGAAGATTCGGGAAGTTGGGAGGGGCCGCAGATTGCCCGGTCGCGAGCCTCCTGCGTTCCCGGCGGTGCCCCACACCAGCGGCACAATATGAAAACAGCTGCTCGAAAGTTGCCATGATTGCAAGGTGTGCGTAGCGTTTGAGTTCGTTTTGCTGTGTGCGGGCACATTTCAGGGCAAGACGGTACCTGCCAACCCCGGGCAATAATAAGGCGGCGCACGAGTCTGCAGCGTGTCAGCGGCCGAGGCGCGCGTGTCAAGCCCAAATTTCACACACTTCCAGCAGCTACGGTGCACGTAGGGTTTTCCTAAAATCTTCAGTAGTTTATGTTTTCGTTCACGCTTTTAAATTGTTTTCATGTGTTCTTCTTTACTATTCCAGTTTGGAGTTCTCGAGATGGAAGCACAGCGAACGATGGCTGAAAACAAGCGGTGCAAATCGACGACATCGAGCAGACAAACGAACTCTTATGCGTGGGCATCAGGAGCATGTCGCCAGGCTCTGCCGCCCCAGTTTCAGTCATTTGTGATTCCTGAATTTATGAAACAGGTGAGAATGTGTCTCAATGCGGCGTTGCCCATCTGTGTGGACCCATCACTGAGGTGCCTGCCAGTTAAGAATGTCCTAATTATGGTATTTGATCAACCAGGAGGAAAGGGTTTGCGGGATGGCATGTTTCCACACACATGACATAGCCATGCAATATTGCATTAATTCGAGGATATTAGGCGAATGGGAAAACTTGCCATTAAGAAGTTTGCCGCCAGGAAATCTTTGCTCACGCTGCATCGCAACAACGCATAACACTTTACGACGCATATGATGTGGAAATTCGTTCCGTAATTGTTGCCCCATTTCGCCCGCTCTCGACTGGCTTAGATATGCCTTTCTGCTCTTCCGTGTGTGGGGTGTTCCAAGAGACATCTCAATTGGCATCAATACCACCCAAGCCTGACGCTATACTTATTCCTCTGCCGTGCTGGGGACCTTGCCTTACCGTTGGTTTTTGAACCCGTCTGCATAGTAACGTAACGCTCGGTCTTTTTCGCTGAGAAAACAATAAAATAAATACGGCTTTCCAAAAAACATTTGTGGAGCAACGTGAAAACAATGCTCTGAAAAACAAAATGCAGAGCAGACAGCGTAACAATAGAGTTTTCCGATGCAGAAGGATTCTAAACCAATGGTATTCGGCGGCTGAGTGCGTTCAGCGAACAGACTGTTGGCCATTCGCCTTCGCCCAGCAAGGATATAGCAACGCGATTGGAACTGGTTCAGGGAAATACTCAGATGTGACAAATTCAATAAAATGGGTACAGAGGATATGCTTCAAAGTTGTGCAAAGAGGTACCTATTTGACATTGAATGCCAAAACAATAATCAAATCATAGCAGTTTCCTTGACCCAGAAGGCGCACAGTACCACTGAAGGAATGATCTCTGTGCATGGTTCTCCTGGTGGAGTAAACACAGCGACATGGCGCTCAGCGCAAATTTGAACTCGAGCTTCAATTCCTGTTGTCCAATTACTAACCATATTTTGACTTTATGTTAGCATGGTTTGCTGTCAGGTGGGGGCCACGAAAGGCAAGCTGAGCGTGGACATGATCGTGAGGTGGGCGGCGGCGCACCGCGTTCTCATCGACGTGCAACAGGTCAAAGACATGTTCGTGGAGACGGACTACAAAAGAGAGGGAGCTTTGGAGGCGCGCCACATTTGGGCCGCTTTGTCCGGTGGGTGGGCGCATTCTCTGCTGACCCACAAATTTCCGATACCCTTCATCTCCGGGTATGAAGTCATGAAGTTCATTGAGGTCACGAAAGTCATGTTTCGGGTTTAGGGTGATTAGATCTTAGGTCTCCGGGTCCAGAGCACCCTCCATCACCTTCATTAGCCCTTCATGACCTTCGTATCCGGTGATGATATGTATCGGACAGTCCTCTGCTGAACCCACCGTGCAGAACTCATTCAAGTGACTACCGATGCGCTGATGGTGCTTGATTCAAATTGAATATGTTTAACTATAATAGTTTTGATTTGCCTGTATTAAGGCATCATTGTTTTATCTAATGGACGCATATTGTGCTTCCAGGACTGATACATTCGTGTATATCATCAATTGCTGCCCAGATCTTCGTCGGTGTCCTGCACTGCTCAAACTTCCCCCACCACTCTGACATATCGCAGCCCAAACGCTGTCTGCGTTTCCACGACCTGGTGGTTTTTGTGTTGCCTCCTTGAATTCATGTATTTATCATATTGTTACTCAATTTCCATTATGTATATGCAAGTTCTGTGAATGGTTTTTGTAATCTAGGTGTGTACCCAAAGAGGAAATTCGACCGCCTCTGGATGGATCTCATTCTTCTCGTTCTGAAAGACAAGAGGTGCGAAATAGAAAGCACCCTTCGAATCGGGTCGGCAGCTTTGAATGGATACAAGGCCACAAGAGGTGCTGCCATGGTGAGATTGACTGTGAAAAAGATTAGAGAGAAATTGTGAGTGCAGATGAACGATCTGTAGCACACTCAATCGAGTAAAATGTACTTAACATCTCAACACATGTGAAGCGTGTTTTGCCAGCATGCAAATGTAAGTATGTTGACTGTCTAGATCACATTTCAATTCTAAGTGCAACTTGGAAGTTGCAGCTTAATGGGCATGGCCTGAATTACATTCACTGCGCTGGTGACTGGCTCTTGCAGCTGAAAACTATCTCGACATCACAACACTTTGCAACATAACATCACGTACAATACATTATATGTTCCAACATGCAATACACCATGAGCTATTGCGATAACAACAGCTCATGGTGCAATAGCGTTCACAGGATGTAATATAATTTTCCTTTTTTTCAGTGAAAGGTGAGATTTTATCCATCTTAAAAAAAGCTGATTTTGGAAAACGCTAAAAGGAAAGTCATGCATATGAGCATCCACGTGATAATGATGGTCCATATGATTCACGCTTCACGAGAAGCGGGAAAGAATTCTGTTTCCATAGAGTTCTTGCTCACTTCTGATTATCCTTAATCATATGGAGTCGATTCCATTCCCAACGCACAGAGACGCCCAGATTGCCTCATCGATTCCGAACTGCCAAAACAGGGCTGCAATATCGCCCATAACAGTTCTATGTGCTGGGCACTATGCACCCATGCATTCTACCTCAGATTTCGAGGACAGTATTTAGCGCCAAAATGTTACTGCCATGCTATCAGTTCTTGTCGACACGCATAGCTAGAACACCGTGGAAGCCTTTAAAAGAGTATAAGGCTGCGTCCTCACCTCATTGACTATGATGGCGCGGGGTTCGGGTGCTTTTGCCGAGCATTGTGGCGCTATGTGCAGGCCGCTAGAAAACTCACACTGTCCAGTGGCTTGAATTCATTGCAGACACATGACATGACCAATGTGCAGTACTTTCGCGTTGCCTTCTAGAATCCTTCGCTCATTGCATGACACTTCTTGAGGGGCTGAATGCTCAACGAGAAAGCTTCGCCACCACATCAACTGCTGGACTGCCTGTTTAGGGAACGTTCAATAGAGATTCCCTTTGGACGGCACCACAGGAGCGGTTGAGGAGGCCCAAGAGGAAAAGTTGGGTAGGCTCAGCCCACAGAAAACTTCCCTTGACCTCCTTTCTCACGTGTGACAATTCTGCAGCTCACCAAAAACCATGTCCTTGAGATGAAACACGAGTTCATTGGGACCAGCTTCGATTTCGCTGAATTCTAAAGCATTCTGCATGCATGCTCAGCATAGGACAGAAACATAATGTTGAACTTTGCGTGTATGTGCCGAGGCGTGAGTTGAGCTGTGGAGCAGTACAATACTAGTAATCAATTAAATTTCACACACCATGCAACATAAGTCTTTCAATCGTCTGCCGCTGCATGGAGTTGCAAGCCAATTGACGAGACCCAAGAGGAAAGGCTGGGGTAGGATGAGCTCGCAGAACATTTCCCTTGAAACCCCTTTCTCATTTCTTTCAACTCTGCCAGCTCACCGAAAACCGTGTCCTTGCGACGAAACACGAGTGCCAACGGGACCAGTTCCGGCACACCTCAAGTTTCGAAACCACCGCTGAAGCATTATCCACCGTGTGCTCAGCATGTCGCCCATGCATAATGTTGAAGTTTGCGCAAATGTACCCGAGGCGTGAGTTGCACTGTGGTTTCAGCACAGTACGATTATACAAATGCGTACAATACGCGACATAAGCATTTTCAACAGCTTGCCGGTGCATGAATTTGCAAAACAATGAAGATAGCAATTTTCCAATTGGTGAATCCAAAGAATAAACAACGCTCATTGCTTGCTCGAAGGCCAATGACCCCCAGCGAGCGCACCAAGAGGGAGACCTTCGCGCCTCCCGCGGGCCGCCAGCCTTCCCCCTGTCTCCTCCGTCAGTTCGCGCGCATCCATCCAGCGCCGGCTCCTCTTGGCCACTTCCCCGAGTTTGCAGATCCCAGGGAGGTCGCCAGACGCCGTCGTTCCAGGGATCCAGGCGCGCGACGCCGGCGGGAGCGTGGGATGAGAGTGCGGCAGATCATCTGGGATGGAGGGCGTCCGATCGGGCGGAGTCGATACGGAGCCGTTGGCGCAGAGCGAGGGGGAAGGGACCCAACTGGGAGGCCACGCTGCCCCCGTCTCCCCTCAATCTCAGTGCTTCAGGTGGGAGCTGCTATGACCGTGGCTAACATGTGCTTTTTTTTTTGATAGGAATCGATGGATTTCGGGAATTTGTTTGCGTCATGCATCAGATGTCCATGAAGTGATCATGGACACCGCTTTGTTCGGGCAAAACAGGGAACTGACGCCCCCCTCCCCTGGGGCACCCATGGGTAGCACCAATCGGTGGCCACGAGGGGCAAGAGTGACTTTCGGCCCCCCACTCCCGCCACTTTGTGGCGTGTTTTGTGGCCACATTTTGGGCCCCGTGGAGGCGGCAGTCCACTCTTGACGTTCGCCCCCCTTGCTAAGCGGAACTGTGGAGGGGAGGCGCAAGTGCACCCTCCCACAACTTAGCCTTCTTCGCAGCGGGGGCCGAGGGGGGGCGGAGCTCGCCCCTTGCTAGGGGGGGAGCCGGGCCGGCCTGGCGCGCCCCGGCCCCAGTTCGGGGCCTCCATGCTGACGTTGGAAGGCAGGGAGTAAATAACGTTTCCCCCCGCGTCGCTGCCTTGTCATGTAAAAATCAACGATGATAATGATGAGCACATAATTTTCCTGTGTGGATGTTGGGGGGCAAGCCTGCAGGGTTTTCACCTTGCAACATGGTTCTCGATGCGCCAAAAAACGTAGAGCTTGCGCTGACTGGCGTGGATTCTGTGTGGCACTGCGACTGACGACGTATTTTAGTGGGCTTCTGTCTGCTGAGGTGGCACTCGAAATGCGGCATTGTCTTCAAATGATGTGTTGACCGAAATCGCTGAGTCAGCGACAGTGCAACAAGCAAAGATAGTGGGGAGTGCTGCGGAGAGTGCAGAGGGATCCCGATTCAGAAATGAAACCAAATGCATCTTCGCTGTTGTCTTTGTAGAATGTCCATTTTAGGCAGCAAGGGATATTCTGGACCCGAATCCATGAGAGGGACTGCAAACGCAACTAAGTTCACTCCTCTTGTCCTGACCACGGCTTTCTGCCCTTGCCCGCAGCAATCTCCACCCTCCGGTCCAGCGTCCGGCGGTCTCTCCCGACCAAGCCAGAATTCCGCCTCTGGCACCAGCCCCTGCTGCCGGGCGACCTGACTCACAAGTCGGCCATGGGAGCGCCCCTGCGTGGGTCAGTCCCCGAGTTGCCCCTGAACCGCGTCGACCCCGTGCGGCCGACGTCCGTGCCTTTTAACGCCAACTATGTGCAGTGGACGGACATGTCCTCTCGCTGCCCGACGGCGCCGCACAATTGGTCATCGTTGCGCAAGGTCTGGTCGAGGCACAGGACATGGCGCAGGCCGGACTCCATGGAACTGCAGAGCCTCGAGGCTTTCTGAATTGAGGAAAATGAAAAGAAAGATGAAAAAATTGAAAAAAGAAAAGAAGAATTCCATGCTTGTGCTGGAAGACAGCAGCTTGTATGTATACCATTGGCATGTGCTCCTCGTTTGAAATGTCTGTGGGGATCGACACATGGGCCCAATTTGCCAATGCCTTGTACATATGGCACACCACCTAACATCCGGGGTTGGCTTTTCACCATTTTGGTGGGAAACGTGGTTGGGGTGCGCAAGCACATGGGAGCCATCCAGTGGGCAAATGCGCTTCCAAGACAACGGTTTGCAGGCAAGCACTGCGGCGCTGGCTTTCCAGAAGCTTTGCTGGAATCCAGTAGCTTGATTGAGGGCTTCCTCGATGGGCAAATTCGCGCTCTTTCATCGCTGGAGGGATATGGTGGGAATGACAGGTCTATGGTGAGAATGTGGGGGCGGGGGAAGACTCTGGTTTTCTAAGCGATTGGTTGATTTTCGTGTTATCGAAAACGCCGTATTTCCGTCATTAGGCATGAGCTGTTGTTGCGTGCGGGCTTCAGATAGGTCAGCGGAAACGCGTAAATGTTTTTGATTGCACGGATTCAAAGAGCACCTTGTTGTCCGGACCCTGCTGCGCAGGCCATAATTTCTTTTGACTTCTGGGATATCTGCAATGGCGCTTGACAATTCACAGTTTGATCTTCTTCGCCGCAGCATCCGTCGGCGCATTTTTCATGTTGTTGTCTTCCTTCTTGTAAATCCTTTGTAGCTCTCACCTCGGATTTCCTTTCCCATCTCGGAAATCTCGCATTCCATTCTGTTATGGGCTTCCTGGCTTCCAGATGATCTCGCCGCATATTTTTTAGATGGAATCTGTATTTCGATTGGCAAATTGTTTCGCCTGGACCGGCGGTGACAACACCTCAGTACCCCTCGGGAGCGACGGCCTCTGAATGATGGTGAGCAACCACAACTTCTGCAGCCGCTTCCATGATAGCTTAATGAGCTCACGAGCTCTGAACGCGGTCCCGCCAGGAAGTATCCCCACTCCGGAACGACAATTGCAAGGCCAAGGGCACTCGGGCACCACCAGCTGAATTGCCCAAATATATGATCTACAACCCTCTTTGGGAAAATGTGCTGCAAGACTCAGAACTTCCTACTGTGCTTGTTTGTGCCTCCTTTTGCTGAAACTGTGTTCTACCAGGGGACACCATCCCAATGGTTAATTGGGACACGTTTTTGCACCTGCTGATGTGCAGGAACTTGCCTCCCCGAGGCTCAACGCATCTGGGCACTTTCCTGTTCGCACAACTGTAACATGTGAAGGCTAGTCCGTCGCTCTACATATGGCGCGGCATCGACCCAACCTCAAGCAGCCGACCTAATTCTGCCCCCACGCCTGATGGACGCCCCTCCCCTTGCCTGACTGCCGCTGGCGCTCCCTGCGGTCGGGCTGGTCGCCTCCAACGTTCCACATCCACGCATCATGCCTGCTCGGGCGAGAAAACGAGAAAATGGGCAAAGATGAAATGAGAAAAATCAGAAAATGAGATAATGAACAAGCCAAATGAAAAATTTCCGGCAGGGACACAAGGGAGGCATGCCCCAGAATCTACGGCATCCTTCAGCCCGCGCAAACGTGAATCTCATCCCGTTGGGATGTTGAACTCTCGATGTCGCAGTGCGAAACCCTCCTGATTGTATTGCTGCATGCAAACTATTTTCGTATGTACACGTGTTTGGAGTATTATCACAAGGAAATTGGATAAGCTTTTGTGCACCATTGATAGGCCCTTGTATTAGCGCCGCTCCACAGACACGAGCTCCGAAGGTTAGCGTTGGTCCAAGGGCTTGTCAATGCTGCATGGAAGCCTACCAATTTCCGGATGTATCTCAGGGCCGACAAATGGATTTTCGATGCAAATATTGCCTGTTCTGGAATGCTACATCAAGATGCCTTGTTGTAGGGTTGATAAATACCGATGTCACAGAGCCACTGTTTCAAGTGCAGTTCAACAATTTTGGTGATCACTATTTCTATGTCGGTCTTGCATCAACCCCCATCAACACTGCACCAAAACCTGCCGAATTTCAGGATGGTTGGCAGCAGGCTTGGCTTTTGCGGCGTACTGTGCATAAGTGGTCAGTGCTTAGTAAACACTGACCATTTGCGCACATTAATCACAAAATCGTATTTACGTTTTTGCCCGTAAATATGTGCAAAAATACGCAAAATTTGACTTGATGTACATAAAACGGTACATGCAGACTCAAGGAGTCCGGGCAGTGGCAGCTAGATGAGCTGGAGTGGGAAGAAAACGACCGTTTGTTTGGCCAAGCGCGAGGTCGATTATGTGTTGCGTGTGCTCGAGGAGTCGGAGGACTGACATTTTTTGCTACTTCATCATGTGACCTGTATGTCCCGACGAGCTGTAAAAATACGTAAATACAGCCGTAAAAATAGACCTTCTTGCAACTATCCGTTTTACGCATAAAAACATAAACGCAAAAAAGTAAACGCAAAGCAAAAGACCAAGCATGGCTGGCAGACCTGCTCTCTCGACCACTGAAGTGCGATGGCAGCATAGAGGCGTCTTGCCTGTGTTGGAACGAAGCGGCTCCAGAGCCATTCAGATTGGCGCCGCTGGGCGACCAGCTGCTTTCTGGTGTGCGCGTTTCTCTACGGCCCGTCACTGAGGCCATCTTTTGAGCCACTCTCCCCTTCAGTCTTTGGAGCTGAGGCCAATAACAGAGTGTCATTAAGTGAGCGTGTTGACAGGTAAACCAAATTCAGTGGAAAATTCAGCAGAAGGTCAATTTGCGCCTTCGGTCACGCCCTTTGGAAGAAGTATGCCCGTGCCTGCACGGAAAATGACAGGGCGCGCAAAATTTGGGCCTGTCCCTCGTTTTTAAGAGAATCAAATTGCAATAGACAGTTTCAAGAGATGCCGAAACCACCACAACATCCCCTTCAACGGACTTGAATTTGCCGACCACGGTGAGCCACAGGGGTTTCCAGTGCATGGGTGGGCGCGAAAACTTAAATATCATTTCTTGCAAATGAACAAATAAATATTTAATATAAATGTAACTGAATTACATTACATAGAGTGTCGCGATACCATCAGGTATTAAAGGCCCTAGACATGTCACCTATCTGTAACTCTGTACAAATAATTGTCCAAAAAATGATATTTGCTGCCTCCACGGAAAAAAGTGCGCATGTGCGATCGTCCGAACGATTGAATAATTGGTCGATGGATTGCTTGAGCGATACATCTATTGAAAATTTGGCCGATTTTTGCTTTATCGATAAATAGATTACTGGATCGATGTGTTGGTGGCGAAATTCAGGTAGCCAAGCAGCCAAATGTTCGAAAACCCCGAATTCAATTCACGCGGATGGACTTCCATCAACGACGTCACATTTTCGCTGACACATAGACAAAGGCGGGAGCGCTGGGTATGAACCGCGGCTGTTGAATCGCGCGGCCCATTCCCGGCCAACTTTCCTGCGACGCGAGGCCACTGTAGACATCTAGAAGATGGACGCTCTTAGGCTACCTGAGTCCAGCAGAGACCAGTGTGTCGATTCTTCGCGCCGCCTGTGAGGATCTCCATTCATTCATTCACCTTTTCCACGATGGCGCTCTGCCTGGGGTGCTCCAACACCCTCTCCTCGCGCCTGGGCGCCTTCCGCCGGTCCGCCACGATGCCCGCCCCCTCCAGCACCAGCTCCCCCGGCCCTCCGTGATCCCCTCTGCCTTCAAAACCCCCTTCCTCGACCGCCTCGTCGCCCTCGCTGGCGCGGTGCCTCGCGGGGATGCCCCGCGCGTCGGCGCCCCACTCCCTGCGCTCAGGCCCAGACGTTGAGGGTGGTCCTTGGGGCCCAAACTGCGGCGCGTGACGGCGGACATCTGGGGCTGCATCGACAGCGAGCTCGCGTTGGACCTTTTCACACAGACGAAGGCGAACGTGCTGAGAGACGGAGGGGTGGCTGTGGATGGTGGGCGCTAGTAAAAGTACAGGCCAAAATACACGGTTTTGATAATCGTGTAAGAATTATGTATTTATCGCACGAAATGGGGCGAAACGACGCGATAACGTTTAAGTGAGTGCACTTGATTTCTACATGGTTTGACGCGGTTTCACGTGGTTTTTAACGCTTCGGAACCATCCGTTTTGGACGATTTTTTAGTTCTGGAGCTTTGGTCCCTAGTGTTGGTGTTTGGACACAATTGGGCAAGATGCAGTTTGCTGCGGTCGTGCAGAGTATCAGGCAATCCAGTACTTCCGGATCTCGCCTACTAATACTCTGAATACCGGCCATGAAGGATGCATTTGCCATTTGCAGCTTCGCGTGGCCAAACCCAACACCGAATTATTACAACTTTCTGAGCATTGCACCATGTGTACGTTCACTAATAAATATGCACAAGCAATGAAAAATTTCCAGTGACACCTTTGCTAGACGGTTGAGCGGGAACTTGGGTGATGCGACATTAAATTTCCAGCATGGTATTAGTCACATGTAAAAGCTTAGTTGCACGCACCTAATTGCCAATCCAAAGTATTCATGTACGAGTGCCTGTGCCAAAAACCAACCATTTCGAGGGCCGACAGCAAAATGCACCCACAGAGATCCCAATGCAAATTCCCGAGCCCCACGCGTCGCATGCAATTGCCAGATTGTAAGATGCCTGGTTGCCACAGTTCGCTCCCACGTGCTGAAAACTCACTTTGCTGGTCACGGGCAGACCCTCGGTTGGGCATTGCCCCTTTGGATGCGGGCCCAACACCAATTGAATTGTCGTCTCTTGTGGCACTTCGCGCGCGCCGGAGCTGTTCCATTTGGGCGCGCGATCTCTGATACGGCGCTTCGGACGTCTCTGACGACGTTTCACGGACGGAGTCTGCGTTTTCGGAGGGGTTGTACTTGGACCAAAAGCTGTACCTGCAAATGGATGGGTGTAAGCAGAGCTGATTGTGTATTATTTACAGCTGAAGACCTGGTGAGACAATAGCAACTGAGCTGAGGACACTGACGAACGGACCGGACATATAAGGGACATAAATTCGTGTTGTCCTTTGCTCGGCTGTAAGCCGTTGCCGTGTACGCGTGCCTACGGTCCCCAGTTAAGGGCCGCCACCTCTCGACCCTTCCAGCCTTCGTCAGCACGACGGTGTGGCGATGGTGTGCTGAGTGAGTCGGCATCGTTCCAACGATGCACCGCCAATTCGTGCAGCGATGAACATCCACGCAGGACACGCAACGGAACGCTCCGGCGTGGCCAGCTCAGCCAGTGACATGGCATGAAGCTGAGGTAGCATGCGGCTTGCAGATTCGACCGCGGGACTGCATCTTACCCCTCTAACAGGGCTCGCCTTCATACAAGTACCTGCGAGCCTCATTTGAGAATGCAGTGTATGATGATCCAATCAACGGCGGCGTTCCATACATGTTGTTTGCGACATGTCATATGGTGGTCCGCGCTTTTGTCCAAATTCGAGGCAAGTTGTCTGCTTTTCTCATGGTTTCTTTCTTTTTGGATTGTTAGTTTTGCGTGATGTCTCGCTTGATTGAGCACTGGCTTCACACAAACCAGAATTTCGTTGCAGATGCTGCGAAATGTGCACTGAAAATGTCACAAGGTTGGGCGTGCCCTAACATTGGATGTGCATCGGTCAACAAAATATGATTATATGATAGAATCGTAGTCCACTTTGACAGGATAAGTCGTGTATTGAATGGCTTTTGAAAGGGAGTGTCATGGATTGTCTAACACAACAACGCAGCGCGTCGGTCCACCCCCTTGACGACTCGGCACCCGCGCTTTGCCGCCCTCGACCAACCACACATTTCACTCTCTTCAAAACGACACATGGTAAATAAAATGAACAATAAACGACAGACACGAGCAACTATCACACTGCACATATGCAACAGGACCCGCGCTCGAAGCAAGGCTTCACACCCACCTGTACTTGGCCCTCTCGCCCTCTATGGACTGCTTGTTGGCCAGCTCCTTCCCCACGCGCCCCAGGTACGGCGCCCCCTCCTTCTCGGACGCTATCATCCCCACGAGGTGCGACGCCCCCACCGTGGGCGGGCCCTCGCCCTCGGGCATGAAGCCCTCCATGAGGATGCCCTGCTCGTAGGCGATCTCTAGGACGCTCTCCTTGTCGAGGCCGGAAGCTTCCAGGACGCGCCAGAGGTGGGAGATGACGCTCCTCTGCTCCGATATGATCTGGTCGCGGATGGCCATCTGGAATTGCAGTTCCTGCGGGGGAGGAAGCGCTGGCGGTAAGTGGACTGGACAGCGGGGTGACAATTCTGTTTCGGCTTGGCATACCACGCAGCTATGTCCGTTGGAGCAAAGCGGTGAGGCATGTTGCAGTGCATCAAATCATCGCCTTGAATCACATTACATAGAGCTTAATTCAAATAATTGACAAAAGCCGATTGGAATTTACGTCAGATAGAACAAAATACAATGCTGCCACGCAATCCCGCAATTGGCTTGGCACACTGGGTGGACAGCGCCTGCGTGCGACTTCCAACAATTGGGACGGCCCAGACAGAGGCGCGATTCGCCTGCCGCCGCACCTGCAGCCGCACGGCCTGCAGGCGAAAGGAGCTCAAAATTTTCAGGAAGGACGCGTTGCCGTGCTGGTCCATCCTCTCGTCGATTCGCTTCTGAATACATCGCCGCGCCTCTTCGTTGGCTTGGATGTCCGCGCGGTAGCGCAGGCCAGCCTCCTCGTTCTCCCGTATGCTCTCCAAGATGTTTTGCCGCCTCTCCCGTGCCTCGCGCTGGTCTTCCTTGGAAAGGCAGCCTGATCGCGCCCGGGGTGCACAACCCGGTGAGTTCCAGAGACTGGTTTGCCAGAGGCAGTTAGTCGCGGAGCCTGGCTGGGGAATTTTCAAAATTGAAAATTTATAATTTTCTGGATGCGCTTTGGTGGTGCAGTTGTGCGCCAGCTTAGAATGAGCAGCTGCATAAGCAATATTCAATCTGGGGTCGTTTCTCTTGCAACACGTGTTCCGTTGGAGCACAGGCAGAACACCCGGCAACAAATTCAATGTGTGATTTGCAAGGGCGGCTGCACTGGTGAGGAGTCTAGCAGATCCATTGCACGTGAGATCAACCATTGCCCATTGTTTGATGTTTGTCTATGTCCAAAACCACAGGCGAGGCCGAAAGATTTGAGAAGTTTAGCTTCACTCAAATAGAGAGGAAAAAGGTAGTAAAAGATAGCTAGTCAGCTTTTGGCCTGTTCTGCGCACATGCCGGAAAGGCATCTGTGTTCGACCCCGCCCAAATCGTGCATAATACAGTCAGCACTTGTTATTTTGCCTGAAGCACTGCTATTGGTGTGAATTCATAGCGTGAGGCGGCAAGCGCAACTGGGATGCGATGTGGAGAGATCGCTGTGGCCGAGCCAGACGCGCATCGGTTCGCGCTTCAACGAAGTTTGTCATCTGCGTTCAAGCCGGAATATCACAGCTGCGCCAATTCCCAAGAGCAACACTTTAGCACATTGCAAGCGCCATTGCTGTACCCCCCGGGCCAAAATGTGACTATATATTTACTATGTATTTACTAGCTAAAATAACGGGCAAGTATTGGCCTCGAAGCCCGCACCCGCCGATAGGTGGTCTTCCACGTTCTTCAGCTCAAATTTGTTGCATACATTCAGGTCCTCCAACTCGAATAGGGCCTTCTGCAGGTTCACCCTCTCTTCCACGTTTTCGTTGATCTCTGTGGCGAGGGCGTCGATCCAAGCTATCTGGTCGGCCTCGCCAGGAGCAGGCTGGGCACCCTGGAATGAGCTGCGCTCGTGCAGCTGGGACCGCAAGTTTTGGACCTCGGCCTGTGGGCGCAGACAACCAGGCAATGAATTAATGCACTGGTGGGTGTATTCCAGGTGGTAGTGGTTGAAGGTGTGCGGGCGCGGGCGGCAGTTGAGGGTTTCAGCAAGTCAACAAAGAATTGTCCAAACAAAGAATTTTCGTGTCCCAGAATCAAGCAGAGATAGTGTGTATGATGAAGAGCCGCTGATGGCGATCCTTCAGGGGAAGCAATCGTTGGTCTTCCGGCTCCATTTAGTAGTGCAAAATTATAGGCATTGCAACGAGAGAATTGGTGTATGCAATTGAGCATGCAACGAGCGAATTGAGGCATCCATGGATCATGGTTTTGTTGATTACATTTTAGTTCCCTGAGCATCGCCACCACGCAGAAACACGTCCGCCTGTACATGGAGGGGCGGCACAATGTCGATGATAAATGTGGCGGACAATATTTTATTATTTCTATTAAAAATTTTGCATGTATGCGAATGATTGAGGCAAAATTGGACGAGCAAATCCCACCTGAAGATTGTCAATGATGCGCTGGTAGTCCGAAATGTGGCTCTCCACCGTGCCAACATTCTGCACCACGTGCGTCTTGATTTCCTTCGCTCGATCTGCGTACTGAAACCCAATGTTTTATCATTCCATTGAAGAAACCTCTCCCAGCATACACCCCACTGCACCCTCTGCTGCATTCAGAAGACCCTGGTTCTCTGAAACTGGCGCGTTCAGCGCCTTGTACAAACGCATTCGTAAATGACGAATTTGAAAACCACGCGGAAGAGAAAGATCGCCAAAACGCTGTGGTAAACATCACATATTTTGACTTACATAATGTATGGCTTGAATGTACATAAATTATATCGCTTTGTTGGGGGAGGATATCTATCACTCAGCGTGCGTGTTTTACTGGCTGCAAAATAGTGTCCAATTTCAGGGGCAGAATACATCTCCTTAGATAAGTGTGGGCGACGTGTAACATGGAAAAATAATGTGCGCATTCGTGACTATTGTTGCTGATGTTCAGTGCGTAGAGTAAACCTTCTCTAGGGATATAAAACACAATGTAGGGTGGGGTAAGCAAGCTTTCACGGTACAGAAAGGCTTTCAGCAGCCTGAATGTAAGCAGACCTAGGCGCAGGTGAGCATGTAGCCAAATCCAATTGTATTTTACATGCGAATTCCTGCTTTTGAGATATTTTGGTTGATGTTTTTGGGCAGATTGATTCAATTTTTATAGTTTACAGAGTTGTGGGTGCATGTATGATTGGTGTTATTCGCAATTTTGCATCGCAATCATATTGTTTCATGACGAAGATATCTTAACCACTGCCGACACATTCTCGTGTGTGTGATTTTCTTCATTTGTGACAAGATGACGACATGTCAAACCCAGCCAAATATCGCAATGTTACTCGGTTTTCTCCTGAAAAACATGCCCAAGCAGCGCGCAATTAATACTTCGCACCACCCCAGGCCATTTTGCCTAGTCTGACTCATAGATGAACGGCGAATGCAACGCTTCGCTGTAGCTGACATTGATCCACGAAAACGCAAGGATTGAGTTCATCCCAGCTCATGTACATTTAGTTGCCCTCGGTGAATGGCCAGGCGCACTTCTTCTGTTGAACGCCAGGCGAAAAAGGCGCGCACGACACCAGGCTCGACCTCGCGCCGCCGCCCGCGCAGGGCAGTGCGCGCAGACTTGTTGCCACACCATCCAGTGTGGATTCACAACAAACAGCCTTTGAGGAAAATGTGGTCCAAACGTGTGCCCTAACGTACCAAGCCATGGACCGCTTTTCCCAATACACCGTCCATACTTTTAGCGTGTTGATGGAGTGGTGGTACTGGTCGGAGGACGCCGCCACCGTGGCGATCATGGCCGTCCTGCAGTTGCCGCTCAGGCCGTCCTTGAGGAGCCTGGTGAGCTTGCTGTTGCGGTATGGCACGTACGCCATGCCACGCTTCTTCTGCTTGCCCAGGGCGTTGATGCAGTTGGCGAGGGCCAGCAACGAGCGGTTGATGTTGGCGCCGTCCCGCAGCTTCTGCCCAGCGTTGTTCGTCTCGGCGGCCCGCTCGCTGCCCGCCAGGTCCACCAGGGACAGCTTCCCCCGCAGCTGCTTCGAGCGGTAGCGGTTCTTGGGAGTGCGCTTCACGATTATTTCGAGCACCTGGGGATGCGTGAATGGTGGTCGCTTGGTTTTCTCGCTTGATTTGGGCAGGGTGCCCGATCCACGATGCTCGACAGAAATGGCGAGTCGCGCATGCATGTTTTTAAAGGGAGGATTGTGGGGTACCTATCATTGCCGGATATAAACGCCACGAAGGGCATTAGGGGACTGAGACCCTAAAGATTTGATGATCTAAAACCTGAAAGATCTAAACACGAAAATGACCTTCATGACGTCATGATCTTCACGGCCTTCATGACTTCATGTCCGGAAATAAATCGTATCGGATATTTGCGATAAGCATGGCAAGTTTGCTCCAAAAGGATCTGTCAGTGCACGCCCGCCGCGCGCTTTGGATGGCGTTGGGGTCAACTGTAAGTCTTGTTTACTGTTTCGGAATTCTGTGTCACAGCAACGTTCTATTTTCATGGACACAGAGCTAAATCGACGACAATGAGCGGTTGCAGCTTGTTTTTTATCTAACTTGGTGTCTGAATGGCGACTTCGCTTTGCCGGTACCGAGGCATTTCTGGCAATGTAATTGGTCACTCTTTAGCCCCAGTGAAAGGTGCAACCAAGCGAGATGCGGAGAAAATTTGCTGTGTCTTTCTGAACCCCAATTCCACCCCAAAAAATAGGGAAAGGAAGAAAAAGAGAAAGCCCATATGTGCTTTTTCACATCCGATACCATAGGGCCCACATTCTTGGATTCACATCGCCCTTCGTTTCATTGAGAGATTGAACAGGGTCGGCGTGTCTTGTGCTAGAGCGGGTTCACCAGTTGGCTCTCAAAGTGCAATAATTTCTGTAACAAGGAGCTCGAGCGGTTTCGCTGTCCCTGTGCTCGTGATTGCCGATGCGCTCCTTACAAATCACATCTGAAATTGTTTACTTCATTTCCCCATTTTAGTAATCAATAACTAAAACAGGGATACCGGAAATACGTGCCTGAACGGAGCTACAACAATTTAAAAGTGCATTGCAGAATCGACATCTGCAACTGAGAAACAATATGTCTCTTGGGGTAGTTCTCCAAAGAAGAACATATTCATTTAGGATACATGGTCGTCTGTTGCGCAAGTAAAACATCGGCCAAATGCACGGTTTTGTGCCCTGAAAAATCGTTTAAAACCGTGCTAAAACGTATAAAATCAATTTGAATTCACTCAGTCGTCACTACAGTGTAATTTGCCCTGATTTTTACTAGCGTGCGGCACTTTAGTGGCCAGTGGATCCAAACAGGGCGGACCAGCAATTACCGTTATCCTCCATTGTATCGTATTCGATGACACTACTACAAGGGCACAGCCCCGATTCGCCGCACCGCATGCGAGCGCGACGACACTGCGTTGGCCTCCGTGCTGTCCATTTTCCTTCGCTTGTTTCCCTCTTCCAGGAGGCTCTGCAAAATGGCGGGGGATTTATGAATCAGGATGCTCAAGCCCTTAAAAAGTACCTTCGACGACAATACATATCGGAGCCCTTGCAGTGCAAGGTGCAAAGTGGAACCGAGGGGATCTTTCGGGTAATGGCGGGCGGGCGTGTATGTACCCATTAGTATGTTGGAATCCAGCATCCTTTCATTTTATCCGCCCTCCACCCGTATGGTCGGACATTGGTACATGATCGATTTTCCGAGTCTGTGAATCACAGCCTAAGTGGCGAACAAAAGAAGGAGATTTAAGCAGGCGCTGGGAAGCTGAGCCGCGTTCGTGGCAAAGGCACCGAATGCATCGACATTTTTTTCTTCCCTACCAGGGCACAAAAAAGTAATGGAAGCCACTCTGTGATGTACAATTTCGTGATCAAATTTCCAAGGCATCCAGATGACATGTAAGGTGCAAGTGTGATTTCCGAATTCTGAAAACGCGCATTGGAAAAGAGCAGAGGGCGCTTGATAAGAACAATTACTCGTAAGAATTTCGCAAGCCAGGTTGCAGCTATACACTGCAGCTGCATGTCTCACCATGATTTCCTCGGCTGTTTTCACTCTGATTCTTCTCAACCCAGCAACCTGGACGCCTTGGTTGGGATCTTCTCGGAGTTCTAAGGCGCCTGAATTCCTCAGAAGCAGGTCATAAATTACCTGGAAATACACGTGAGCAACTGGCAACAACGGCTTTGCCACACCAAAGATGAATTCCATTCAGTTTGCGTGTTGCAGCTTCTGGCAACAAATAAACGGAAACGAAGGATGGAAACAGGGAAAATCCACACTTACAGTCTATATCTTCATGAGCCACAAAAGGCAAATTTAACTGTACAATTGCATCGGTGTTTCCACCATCCGAGGTTTTACTGGATGTCAAGAGAAAGTACCCTATGAAATTTATGATGAATATAAATAAGATTCATGGTTTTGACAACTGCTTTTGTATAAAAATTTGCCACGTATGTCAAGCAATTCGATAAGGGCGAGCTAGATACATTACAAGCATGTAGCATGATCTGTGCCATGTTTTACCCTCACCTCGTTGTAGACTTCAAGGTACGAGCATACGACGTGCGTCTGCTCGTCAGAAAAAATGGTCTCCATGTCCTTAAATATGCTTTCCAGCGACAGAATCATCAGCCCACGATCATCTGCAGATCCTGGAAACGAAGTGCAGAGGCGTCGAAATAGAACAGCGGACAATTTTGCGTAGCTTAGCTATGCCATGACTTGCCTTTGCGAAAGATATATCATGTTATATGCCTGCCTAATTATGTTAATCTACTCGGCAGCACCGCACTGGGATAATTAGCGCATTGGGATTTATGCCCATAGGCAATTAATTCAGATCAAAACGTCAGATATATTCATTTTATGGAACACCACCCAGCGGTTTGGTTTCACGCAGGAAGCCAATGATGGTGTCTACGGTTTTCAAATGTTAATCGTTTCAGGTTAGTCATAGAATCTTTGAGAGACATTACTGCTTGAAATTTATACGCCGTTCCGCAAGAGATGTACCGAAGACCCTCCAATGAGGCCCACATCGCATTGCATGGACTCCTCAGGTGCCGGTGGCCAGTAGCAAAGGGTGAATAGAAAGCACAGTTCAGTACAGATGAGCCTCTTACCAACCATCGAATATGTCTTCCCGGAGCCCGTTGCTCCGTATGCAAAAACAGTTCCATTTATTCCGTTCATCACTCCCGACACCACCTGATGTATGGAGCCATCATATATCTCTCGGGTAGATGCCTAAGCCACAAGACGCAAGCAAATTAAATGGGCTTGAAAAAAGCTTTCTAGTAAAACAAGCGCACCCAGTTGACAAACTGACACCCAATGACGCGGCGCGAAGAACCTGTTCAGTAATTGCATTTTCCCTCGGGAATCAAAGAAGCGTCCTGCAGGTAGATACCAGGCTCTGGAAAGGGTGCAGCGCTATGTAAAATAGGCATCTTCAACAACATTTAGATACATATGACAGATGTACAGATGCATGTTGGCT